AGGCATACCTACTGAACAGTCTCAGACATGAATCACACTTACTGTGTTAACGCAGGCAAACCTACTGAACTCTCACAGACATGACATCACACTTACTGTGTGTTAACGCAGGCATACCTACTGAACCCTCTCAGACATGACATCACACTTACTGTGTGTTAACGCGGGCAAACCTACTGAACAGTCTCAGACATGACAGCACACTTACTGTGTGTTAACGCGGGCACACTTATGAAGAGTGTCAGACATGAATCACACTAACTGTGTGTTAACGCGGGCAAACCTACTGAACAGTCTCAGATATGACATCACACTTACTGTGTGTTAACGCAGGCAAACCTAGTGAACAGTCTCAGACAGGAAAATACAGTGTTAATGCAGGCATACCTACTGAACAGTTTCAGACATGAATCACACTTACTGTGTGTTAACGCGGGCAAACCTACTGAACAGTCTCAGACATGAATCACACTTACTGTGTTAACGCAGGCAAACCTGCTGAACAGTCTCAGACATGAATCACACTTACTGTGTGTTAAAACAGGCATACTTACTGAACCCTCTCAGAAATGAATCACACTTACTGTGTGTTAACGCAGGCATACCTACTGAACCCTCTCATACATGACATCACACTTACTGTGTTAACGCAGGCATACCTACTGAACAGTCTCAGACATGAATCACACTTACTATGTGTTAACGCAGGCGAACCTACTGAACCCTCTCAGACATGACATCACACTTACTGTGTGTTAACGCGGGCAAACCTACTGAACTCTCACAGACATGACATCACACTTACTGTGTGTTATCGCGGGCAAACCTACTGAACAGTCTCAGATATGACAGCGACGCATTGCTGTGTGTTGTTAACGCAGGCAAACCTACTGAACCCTCTCAGACATGACAACGCAGTGTTAATGCAGGCATACCTACTGAACAGTCTCAGACATGAATCACACTTACTGTGTGTTAACGCAGGCATACCTACTGAACAGTCTCAGATATGACAGCACACGTACTGTGTGTTAACGCGGCAAACCTACTGAACCCCTCTCAGACATGACAACACACTTACTGTGTGTTAATGCAGGCATACCTACTGAACAGTCTCAGACATGAATCACACTTACTGTGTGTTAACGCAGGCATACCTACTGAACAGTCTCAGACATGAATCACACTTACTGTGTTAACGCAGGCATACCTACTGAACAGTCTGAGACGTGAATCACACTTACTGTTTGTTAATGCAGGCATACCTACTGAACAGTCTCAGACAGGACAACACACAGTGTTAATGCAGGCATACCTACTGAACCCTCTCAGACATGACATGACACTTACTGTGTGTTAATGCAGGCAAACCTACTGAACCCTCTCTCAGACAGGACAACCGCAGTGTTAACGTAGGCATACCTACTGAACAGTCTCAGACATGAATCACACTTACCTGTGTGTTAATGCAGGCATACCTACTGAACAGTCTCAGACATGAATCACACTTACTGTGTGTTAACGCAGGCATACTTCTACTGAATCCTCTAAGACATGAATCACACTTTCTGTGTTAACGCAGGGCATACCTACTGAGCAGTCTCAGACATGACATCACACTTACTGTGTGTTAACGCTGGCAAACCTGCTGAACAGTCCCAGACATGAATCACACTTACTGTGTGTTAACGCGAGGCATACCTACTGAACAGTCTCAGACATGACATCACACTTACTGTGTTGTTGCTGGGAAACCTACTGAACAGTTTAAGACATGAATCACACTTACTGTGTGTTAATGCAGGCATACCTACTGAACAGTCTCAGACAGGACAACACAGTGTTAACGCAGGCATACCTACTGAACAGTCTCAGACATGAATCACACTTACTGTGTTAACGCAGGCATACCTACTGAACAGTCTCAGACATGACATCACACTTACTGTGTGTTAACGCAGGCATACCTACTGAACAGTCTCAGACATGACATCACACTTACTGTGTGTTAACGCAGGCAAACCTACTGAACAGTCTCAGACATGAATCACACTTACTGTGTGTTAACGCAGGCATACCTACTGAACAGTCTCAGACATGAATCACACTTACAGTGTGTTAACGCAGGCATACCTACTGAACAGTCTCAGACAGGACATCATACTTACTGTGTGTTAACGCAGGCATACCTACTGAACAATCTCAGACAGGACAACACAGTGTTAATGCAGGCATACCTACTGAACAGTCTCAGACAGGACATCACACTTACTGTGTGTTAACGCGGGCAAACCTACTGAACAGTCTCAGACATGAATCACACTTACAGTGTGTTAACGCGGGCAAACCTACTGAACTCTCTCAGACATGAATCACACTTACCGTGTGTTAACGCAGGCATACCTCCTGAACAGTCTCAGACAGGACAACACAGTGTTGGTGTAGGCATACCTACTGAACAGTCTCAGACATGAATCACACTTACTGTGTGTTAACGCAGGCATACCTACTGAACTCTCTCAGACATGAATCACACTTACTGTGTTGTTAACGCAGGCAAACCTACTGAACCCTCTCAGACATGAATCACACTTACTGTGTGTTTAACGCAGGCATACCCACTGAACAGTCTCAGACATGACATCATCACACTTACTATTGTTAACGCAGGCATAGCTACTGAACAGTCTCCAGACAGGACATCACACCTACTGTGTGTTAACGCAGGCATACCTACTGAACAGTCTCAGACATGAATCACACTTACTGTGTGTTAACGCAGGCAAACCTAATGAACCCTCTCAGACATGACTCCACACTTACTGTGTGTTAACGCAGGCATACCTACTGAACCCTCTCATACATGACATCACACTTACTGTGTGTTTAGCGCAGGCATAGCTACTGAACAGTCTCAGACATGACATCACACTTACTGTGTGTTAACGCTGGGCAAACCTACTGAACTCTCTCAGACATGATATCACACTTACTGTGTGTTAACGCAGGCACACTTATGAAGAGTGTCAGACATGAATCACACTTACTGTGTGTTAACGCTGGGCAAACCTACTGAACAGTCTCAGATATGACATCACACTTACTGTGTGTTAACTCAGGCAAACCTAGTGAACAGTCTCAGACAGGAAAATACAGTGTTAATGCAGGCATACCTACTGAACAGTCTCAGATATGACAGCACACTTACTGTGTGTTAACGCAGGCAAACCTACTGAACCCTCTCTCAGACAGGACATCACACTTACCGTGTTAACGCGGGCAAACCTACTGAACTCTCTCAGACAGGACATCACACTTACTGTGTGTTAACGCGGCAACAAACCTACTGAACCCTCTCAGACAGGACAACGCAGGCATACTTTACTGAACAGTCTGAGACATGAATCACACTTTACTGTGTGTTAACGCAGGCATACCTACTGAACAGTCTCAGACATGAATCACACTTACTGTGTTAACGCAGGCAAACCTACTGAACTCTCACAGACATGACATCACACTTACTGTGTGTTAACGCAGGCATACCTACTGAACCCTCTCAGACATGACATCACACTTACTGTGTGTTAACGCGGGCAAACCTACTGAACAGTCTCAGACATGACAGCACACTTACTGTGTGTTAACGCGGGCACACTTATGAAGAGTGTCAGACATGAATCACACTTACTGTGTGTTAACGCGGGCAAACCTACTGAACAGTCTCAGATATGACATCACACTTACTGTGTGTTAACGCAGGCAAACCTAGTGAACAGTCTCAGACAGGAAAATACAGTGTTAATGCAGGCATACCTACTGAACAGTCTCAGATATGACAGCACACACCATTACTGTGTGTTAACGCAGGCAAACCTACTGAACCCTCTCAGACAGGACATAACACTTACCGTGGTGTTAACGGGGGCAAACCTACTGAACTCTCTCAGACAGGACATCACACTTACTGTGTGTGTTAACGGGCAAACCTACTGAACCCTCTCAGACAGGACAACGCAGGCATACTTACTGAACAGTCTGAGACATGAATCACACTTACTGTGTGTTAACGCAGGCATACCTACTGAACAGTCTCAGACATGAATCACACTTACTGTGTGTTAACGCAGGCATACTTACTGAACAGTCTCAGACATGACATCACACTTACTGTGTGTTAACGCAGGCATACCTACTGAACAGTCTCAGACATGACATCACACTTACTGTGTGTTAACGCAGGCAAACCTACTGAACAGTCTCAGACATGAAATCACACTTAGTGTGTCTTAACGCAGGCATACCTACTGAACAGTCTCATACATGAATCACACTTACTGTGTGTGAATGCAGGCATACCTACTGAACAGTCTCAGACATGACATCACACTTACTGTGTGTGAATGCAGGCATACCTACTGAACCCTCTCAGACATGAATCACACTTACTGTGTTAACGCAGGCATACCTACTGAACAGTCTCACACATGAATGACACTTAGTGTGTTAACGCAGGCATTCCTACTGAACAGTCTCAGACATGAATCACACTTACTGTGTGTTAACGCAGGCATACCTACTGAACAGTCTCAGACATGAATCACACTTACTGTGTGTTAACGCAGGCATACTTACTGAACAGTCTCAGACATGAATCACACGTACTGTGTGTTAACGCAGGCATACCTACTGAACAGTCTCAGGCATGACATGACACTTATTGTGTGTTAACGCAGGCATACCTACTGAACAGTCTCAGACATGAATCACACTTACTGTGTCTTAACGGAGGCAAACGTACTGAACAGTCTCAGGCATGACATGACACTTATTGTGTGTTAACGCAGGCAAACCTACTGAACAGTCTCAGACATGACATCACACTTACTGTGTGTTAACGCAGGCAAACCTACTGAACAGTCTCAGACATGACATCACACTTACTGTGTGTTAACGCAGGCAAACCTACTGAACAATCTCAGACATGACATCACACTTACTGTTCTCGCCTTGAGTAGGCAGGTTACACAGAGGGCCCCAGTGGGTATCTGGACATTGACACAGCTCCCCGTTGGCGATTTTACCAATACAAACACCAGAACTTGGCGACACCCCACACAAGTTGAAATTGTTAAGTTCTCTGTACAATGTTGTACAAACAGACTCTGAAATAACGATTGAATGTATTATCATATTCACAACATGACAAGTAGCAAATGGATGTAAGTTTACGGAACAATTGACAAGCGTAACTCAATCTTCAGATTAGATTGTGCTAAGTAACAATGAGGTCAAATTCAAACTAATATTATAAATTGTTTACTGGTCACGAGGGCTCAGGGAACATAAACATAGAAGGTACACCAACACAACGGCTCCGAGGGACCAGTGAACAACGTATTTATCTTACTGAATGTTAATTTTGAACTGTTTGAAGCACTGGTATAAGCACTCATAACAAGGACTACCAGAGTTAGGTAATTGGCCAATACCAACTGACAAGAAAAACATATTTAGAGTGATGATGATTATAAGGGGGTCACCCATTTTGTTCGGGGGGTGCATCAATTTTGTACACATGTTTTTAGGGGGGTCAGCAATTGTGTACATAAATATATTTAAAAATTATGCTTAAAATGTTTTGGAAGGGGAAGGGGGGGGGGGTAATTGATTATGTACATGACATGCAAGGGGGGAGGTTAATTGGTTATGTACATGACATGCGGGCGGAAGGGGGTCATTCACATTGAACATGCTCCTCCATAAAGATCATCATCACTCCCCCTGGCCATAAATTATGAAATGTCCCTTAGGTGATGCGACCTTCTACAAGGGTTGTGGACTCAGTATAGCAGTGTAACGGATAATACTGAGCCTAAGTTTACATGTGAACTTGGTCAGCTGTGAAGGCCTTACTTTCACAGTTCTTCCCAAAGTAGCCATCAATACAGGTGCATGTATAGTTAGTGGTCCCATGTCCCCCACACACGCCGCTGTTCTCACACGGTCTTGACTCGCACGGATCTGTCAGAAACAAATACATTGTTATACTTAGTACGTATACTTCCTCTGTTCACCCATCAGAAAATGGGTACCCGGTGGGATAAGTCATGTGACTAATAACCTAGCGCTTCACTGGCAGGTTGGGTTATCCGGGGTAATAATAGCGCTATGGAGTTTGGCGCATTATAAATGCACTTATTGTTATTATTATTATCATCATTACGTACACTCGACAAACATTACTAAAGTCCCGTCCATTACGACCTTGGCACTGGTTGATGACACCACTGGTAGCTTGGACTGGATCTTGACACATGTCAAGTTGCATCGGTCCAACATGTGTATACCTCCTCGAAAAAGACTGTCATACAACAAGATTCGGGTCGTCTCTCAACACCAGCTTGATGTGTATCTCACAGGTGTTCAGAAGGCGTTTCGATGAAACACACAAACGGTGATGTCAGAACAAACAAAAGAGACCTAACTCTGCAGATCAAATTGCATCACCTCACCGTCATTCTGGTAACCTAGACTGCTAAAATTACGCTTTATTTTTGCTAAAAGATAAGCATTTAACATCCAGTACAACTGCCTGTATAACCAGCTCAAATACAGACACATATTTGGCTAGGTTATGAAGCTCAGTTTCCGACTACAGGATACCCCCACCGACCTGAGGGTGAGTGAGTGAGTTTAGTATTACGCCGCATTCAGCAATATTCCAGCTATATGGCGGCGGTCTGTAAACAGTCGAGTCTAGACCAAACAATCCAGTGATCAACAGCATGAGCATCTATCTGCGCAACTGGGATAAGATGACATATGTCAACCAAGTCAGCGAGCATGACCCCCCGATCCCGTTAGTCGCCTCTAACGACAAGCATGGGTTACTGAAGATCAATTCTAACCCGGATCTTCACGGGTCCCGTTGAGGTAGATTTCCGCACATACAATCGCGTGTTGACGTTACCTGAGATTCGCGTATCCCCAACCCAACACCATGCAACAACCGCGTGTTTGATGTACCCCGAGATAAGCTGTGTCACAAGCGACCACCATGTAGAGTCGACGTACCTGATGTTTGGCAGTGTAGGTACCCAGCAGTCAAAAGAAAAACTGACACTGTGATTCCTGGTATTCGTCCCATCACCTGAAACTTTAATATTTCAAACAAATTAACACACTACATGTATTTTCAAAATAACCAGTTCTAAATAAAATGATACACGATCATTTATTATGAGAGTAGTTTCCTGTTTAGGAGATTTTGTTGTTGTTATTTGGAGTTTCGTCGAAATGGAAACACTGAACCTGGAAATCCCTGAAAGAAAGAATATATATACTACAAACAAGAAATATAGGAACAGCCTAAAATATAAGTTACGTTACATTTAACTTCAGATTGTAGAAGTATGGCAGCAACAAAAATAGCATTGTTTCAATAAGTTTTACATACAAGAATATTCAGTTTCAGTTCCAATTTCAGTTTATAAATATCTGTTTTTAAACCACCGCCACACCCCCTTTACCCAAGCCCCCACACTTCCCTCATCCCCAGACTCGATTCTCAATACCCAATGGTCGGTGCTTGTTACACTCGCGACAATTCCGGGTATCTAGCAGTAGTTCAAAGAGAATGCTGAAAGTAGTATACGTTAGATAAGCTTTTACGTTTTAATTCTCCGTTATAGAACAATAGATACGCTATGTACTCACTCAAGCCTCCTCTGGCAATGCTCCTACATTAGGTACTGAAATTGTACCCACGAGATTGGCAATTTTCTGGAATTGGAAGAAAAAACATTGTCTGTCCGTATTGACAGCACTGTGATCAGTGTAGCTGTTTTCAGCCCCGTTGCTTGATATACAAGTAGGTAAATGTACGCTTTGTAAGGATGTCCCAAATTGATTTGCCAGTCGGCTATGTTAAGTATCCAGTCATGACTAATACGAACAATACCTAGAAGAAATCACGTATTCAATATTCAAACATGTCATATTCAATGCACACTCAGGGTTGAATAGGCAAGTTTAAATTTAGATGTTTCTTTGACATTTAGGGCACTATAGAATATAGCTTGTTCAGCCTGTCAGACTACATTAGAGTTGCTACCACAGGTGGTGGAAAAGAGAATAAATAATATTGCTTCCCACTTGTTGAAAGGCTTTTATACTCGACTGACTGACTGACTGACTGAGTTTGGTTTTACGCTGCTTTTAGCAATATTCCAGCAACATCACGGCGGGGGACACCAGAAATGGGCTTCACACATTGTACCCATGTGGGGATTCGAACCCGGGTCTTCGGCGTGACGAGCCAACGCTTTAACCACTAGGCTACCCCACCGCCCTTTTATACTCGAATGTGTGGTGCAAAACAGTACTTCCTGCTTGACACTGCTGATGAAATTGAGGCTTGAATTGATTGACTGAGTTTAGTTTTACGCCGCATTCAGCAATATTGCATCTATATGGCGGCAGTCTGTAAATAATCGAGTCTGGACCGGACAATCCAGTGATCAACAGCTAGAACATCGATCTGCACAATTTGGAACCGATGACATGTGTCAACCAAGTCAGCGAGCCTGACCATCCGATCCCGTTAGTCGCTTCTTAGGACAAGCATGGGTTACTGAAGGTTCTTTCTAACTCGGACCTTCACGGGTACCCCAAATCAGTAAGCAGGGGCCCGTTTCACAAAGCGATCTTAGACTGTCGTAAGTCTATGTTAACGTATGGGAGTTACGATCACCTTAGCGCTACGATCGTTTCCCGGAACGAGGTCCTGGATATTTGCCGTCACGTGTACATCGCCTCTCACCTTGCGTAGCCATTTTGTCCTGTGATACTAGCACATTAATATGTGGGCTATCAGATTCACAGCATAAGCTATGACAGACATACTCATTATTCTAATTCAAAATACATGTATATCAAAAAGGAATTGCATGTATACTCACGGATACGTCACTGTATAGACACTGGGTTGTATTCCCTTGCGATAGCAAGTCACACTGAACGAGCCAGCTGTATCTGGCATAGGTCTGCCCAAGCAGGAAGTGCATTAATGATATAACATTTCATTTGAAAATAGATATAACAACTGCGCTCTACTTTAACGACAAGAGAAAATGTTCATTGTTGTCAGCTGAAGCTGATATGTCACCCTGAATAGGATTAATGACCGTACAATGTGTGCATTGTGGCTGACATTGCCAAGCACAATATAACCTGAGATACAGAGCCTGACTGTGATATCCATAGTGGGTTGGGCGGGAGAGATTTTGGGAGACACAGTAACCCAAGTCTCAAGAATTCACTGAGACACCGGGGACACCAGAAATGTGCTTCACACATTGTACCCATGTGGAGAATCGAACTCTGATCTTCGGCGTGGCGAGCGAAAGCTTTAACCTCTTGGCTACCCCACCGCCCCTCTTCATCATGACATATCGGGCCAGTGCTGTTAACACTGAAATTATCTGCTTCAGCGAAATGAATTCCTTAAAAGGCCCTTCACATTTATTTCGAATTGACATGAATCAAGGAGAATCAGCCAGATTTTTTTTCCAAAATTCGAACCGCATTCGGGAGAGATTGTCAAAATAAACCAAAAAAATTCAAGATTTGTAAGAATGCTGTTGGAATACTTAGAACGCACTTCGAACCCGCCTGGAATGATTCTTACTCATTCCAAATGTACTAGATCACGAATACTGCTCGAATGAATCGGAATACAGTAGAAATAATTAGAATGCCGATAGAATTCACTGAGAATACTTAAATGAATTTCGACTGCCGTACGAGTCCGGTTCGATTGCTGCATGAATAGCACTCGAATTTTAGTTGGAAAGTGTCTCGAATGCTGTACGAATTTACATAGAGTGCATTCAGAAACCTCTTGGAATGACCCCCGAATATGCATAGGGTGGAAGCGCTGTCCACGCGAAATGTGGAGTTGCCCCCAAAGCAACTCCATTTCCTCGCTGGACAATGAAAGAAGAACATATGGCGCAAGAGTTTTCCCTTGCATTTTCATTATTTTGCAAGTATATCAGGTTTTGCCATTTGGCGGACGGGTCTAGAAATGTACAGATCTTTCTATAATAGTTTGACACCCTCTCTATTTATTGCAATTGCGCGTTAAGCGAGGGCACCCTCCTGGGTGTCGAAACATTATCGCGGAAAATGATCGTTTCAACACGAAATATGACAACCTCATCAGCAGACACGACGTTTTTTGCTGTCAATTCTTAGATATAGTTGTCTTAGGTCTTCATTCACAGTTTAGGCTTAATGCGTCAGTATTTTTTCAGTTATCGTTGAAAAATCAAACTGTACATTTTATATCGAGTTGCTCACATTTAGCAAACAAACTGTCCATTGCGTTGTGATTTTACTGTGTAGACCTGTTGTGAAGAAGAATAATCGAGTCTGGACCGGAAAATCCAGTAATCAAGAGCTAGATCATCGATCTAAGCAGTTGGGATATGATGACATGTGTCAACCCAGCCAGAGAGCCTGACCACCCGATCCCGTTAGTCGCATCTTACGACAAGCATGGGTTACTGAACACCAATTCTAACGTAGATTTGTACGCGTAGATTAGCTTGAAACACAACAACAATGTTAGCACAGGCACTTCCCGCTTGACAATGGTGGTGAGATAGGCTTGAAACACACAACAACAATGTTAGCACAGGCACTTCAGACTTGACAATGGTGACAAGATAGGCTTGAAACAGAACAACAATGTTAGCACAGGCACTTCCCGCTTGACAATGGTGATGAGATAGGGTTGAAACACAACAACAATGTTATCACAAGCACTTCCCGCTTTACAATGGCGATAAGAAAGGCTTGAAACACAACAACGATGTTAGCACAAGCACTTCTAGCTTGACAATGGTGATGAGATAGGCTTGAAACAGAACAACGATGTTAGCACAGGCACTTCCCGCTTGACAATGGTGGTGAGATAGGCTCGAAACACAACAACAATGTTAGCACAGGCACTTAATTCAGACTTGACAATGGTGATGAGATAGGCTTGAAACATAACAACAATGTTAGCACAGGCATTTCCCGCTTGACATTGGTGATGAGACTGGGTTGAAACATAACAACAATGTTAGCACAGGCACTTAATTCAGACTTGACAATGGTGATGAGATAGGCTTGAAACATAACAACAATGTTAGCACAGGCATTTCCCGCTTGACATTGGTGATGAGACTGGGTTGAAACATAACAACAATGTTAGCACAGGCACTTAATTCAGACTTGACAATGGTGATGAGATAGGCTTGAAACATAACAACAATGTTAGCACAGGCATTTCCCGCTTGACAATGGTGATGAGACTGGGTTGAAACATAACAACAATGTTAGCACAGGCATTTCCCGCTTGACAATGGTGATGAGACTGGGTTGAAACATAACAACAATGTTAGCACAGGCACTTAATTCAGACTTGACAATGGTGATGAGATAGGCTTGAAACATAACAACAATGTTAGCACAGGCACTTCCCGCTTGACAATGGTGGTGAGATAGGCTCGAAACACAACAACACACTCAGGCACTTCCGGTTTGACAATGTTGATAAGATAAGCTTGAAACATAACGTCGATGGTAGCACAAACACATTTTGCATGCCGCAGATCATTATAATACGTTACTTGTTGATTCCGAAGCTGAAAGGTAACCGCGAATCAGTCCGTAAATCAACAAACAACCAGGGAAGTGATGTAATTAACCATTGAATTCGATCATTAACTTAGAACACAGATCACTACAAATGGTCACTATGGACGTACAGAATACACTGAAAGGTGATTTGATACAATAGCTGTGATTATAGCAATAAAGACAAGACATATAAATAAATACTTGATGGTAATATTCACCTGTGTCAAACAGTAATCCAATTTGCATGACAGTAGAGTGAGTGAGTGAGTGAGTTTAGTTTTACGCCGCACTCACCAATATTCCAGCTATATGGCGGCGGTCTGAAAATAATCGAGTCTGGACCAGACAATCCAGTGGTGAACAGCATGAGCATCGATCTGTGCAATTGGGAACCGATGACATGTGTCAACCAAGCCAGCGGGCCTGACCACCCGATCCCGTTAGTCGCTTCTTACGACAAGCATGGGTTATTCTAACCCAGATCTTAACGGGTTGCAAGAGTTTCGTAGAGCGATCATCACACACAATGCCGCTATTCTTGCAGCTTGTACTATTTGAAGCTTGTAATGAATTGAATTCATTTCGCATTGAAAAGGCACAAAAGGCGTCTTACAAATCCTATAAATTAATGTTGACACAGATCATCTTCTCCCTTTGTGCAAAAAACATTTAAAATAGGAAACATGCATGAATATAAGTGAACAATACTCATAAAAGCAAACGTAAGTCAGTTGCAGAACAACAGCATTTACATGAAAAATAGGATCATTCTGTCTTACGGCGAATTACAAAAGCGAAAATACTTTGACTGTATGTTTTAGTGAGGTGTGCTATACAGATTACTTCCGGTAACGATGGTTATATAGGGAAGCGTGCTTAAGCAGATAGAAAAGAACACTGAAGGCAAACGGACAATACACACACAGATACATACTTGAACACATGCATGCATTCACTACTTCACACTAACACGTACACATGCATACACGCACCTGCACTTCATATGTACTTCATATATACTTCACATGTACTTCACATATATACTAACGGAAAAAAGTAACTGTGCATAACATAAAATTGCATAAAATAAAAGTTATTGAAAAGTTATTAAAATAACCCTAAATAAACATGTAGCAAAGCACTTTGCATCAAATTTCATGTCAATAATTGTGCGTAGCACGTGCACTTTGTGCGCAGTGAACTTACTCACTTTTCGCATGCTTTTTTGACACCTGAAGTTCACACACCTGATATTAGATAGTTCTCGATTGTTGTAATAATTGCAAAAGTTCATGTTTTATGCAAACTGATACAGGCATAATGATTATTCTAAACGGTAGAACTGTAGGTTAAAGTTCGAGTGGAACCATGACCTCTCACCTTCACAGTTGACGTTCGCCAAGGCCGTTGCTGTGACCTCGCGCACAACTTCTCCCGTGGTGCTGTTGACGCAATAACATCTTCTCGTGACAAGGTCATCAATGCTGACGTCACACTGGGCAGACGTAAACGTGCCGTCTGGCAAGCACGTGCGCTCGTGGAGGTATGAAATGTTGATCGCGTGCATCACGGACTTGAGTACATTAAGGTCAACTAAGGCACGGAACCCCACTATGCTGCTGTCGGTCATGTCTGTGGTGTTGAGGACTCGAAACGTCGTTGTATGTAGCTCCTGTTGTCGCTCGCACAGGCTGAGGTTCTCTTGATATACATAAGGTGTGAGTGAGTGAGTGAGTGAGTTTAGTTTTACGCCGCACTCAGCAATATTCCAGCCATATGACGGCGGTCTGCAAATAATTGAGTCTGGACTAGACAATCCAGTGATCAACATCATGAGCATCGATCTACGCAACTGGGTACGATGACATGTGTCAACCAAGTCAGCGAGCCTGACCACCCGATCCCATTAGTCGCCTCTTACGACAAGCATGGGTTACTGAAGATCAATTCAAGCCCGGATACATGGAGGGACATAGAGAATGGACATGCACATGAAGAAACCGAGATACAGACAATACCAAAAACAACCGAACTGTCCTGATGTTCTGCTTGATCATAGCAGCACTAGATTCATTGTGGTTGCTTTAGAATGTATAAAGAAAAGGTGTCTATCTGTCTGTCTCTCTGTCTGACCAGCTGTCTAACTGTTCGCACTTACTCAGCCTTCACCTGATGGAGGAGCAGGAAGTAGCTCTCAAACGGCATGATAAAGAATAAAGACGTTGTTATTCGCACAGAGTGTCAAGGATTGACATTTGCCCGTTTCAGATTTGCAAATGCTCATACACCGTGTGGTATGTGCCATTGGAAACCCAGTGCTTTTGAGTATGGTATGCAGGTCACAGACGCGTAGCTACGAATGGTGATTTTGCTATGACTACAGGGAATTTGATAGTTTGTAGATTTTGTCTTGAAAGGAATTAGATATCCATTGCGTGATTTTTGTCAGACTATACAATACTGTGTTTGTCAGGTGCTGCAAGTATGTTGTGTCATACGTGAGGTGCATACGGATTACGATCTTCAGAGTGTACATTTGAGAACCTATTTTTTTTAAAAAGCGACATCCTGCTCTACAGTGAATATTCTACAGTCAAGCCCTTTTCGTACATAGACGGGTTTCGGGTAGCACTCGCGTTTCGTCATTTTTTCTTTCGTTTTATTCCTTGATATCTTGACATAATCCCGAATAATAAATGTCATTTTTCTGGACACGTCCTTACTTTAATATTAGCAAAAAGTGTTTTAAAAGTTTTTTCAACCTATACACAAAGAACTTAATTAAGCAGCCCCTGTATTTTTGTTATTTTTTGCAATGATCAAAATTATCGTGGTGACCAGGATGGATTTTTGCTGACCCGTATGATCCTTTGACTCATAAAAAAACCGACAAAATGATTGGAATCCATATTGAATTTATGATTATAAAAAGAGCATTGATTTTCTCACAAAACCATGTCTGTACAAGTATGGCCCTGGAATGTTTAATGTTGAATTTATTGGGGAATGTGAACATTCAAAATGTCATTTTACGTGTCTTACACGATTCAAGGTCAGTACTGAGTGTGAAAGGACAGTCTACTCCATTCCTCGTGTAAAGCAGCTTCCAATCGGGTCAGGTTCTGTACAGGATGATGCCTATGTTGCACACGACGAACAATCATGTCCCAGATATGCTCATTCAATCGTGAGATATGTCAGAGGGTGTTTAAGTTCTTTGTGTATATAAAGAGTTGCATTTTGGAAGATGGGGTATATTTATACTTACTCTTCGACCCGACGACTTGAACCTGACACAGAGTTCCAGCACGTGATTCTGGGCACTGGCATAGTTCTCCGTTGTCGATGTTACCAATACACTTCCCCCTCGAGGGTGTTCACTTGGCAGACGTCAAGCCCAACACCGAACAGGGCGAGGCACACACTGTCTGAATTTTAGAAATACTACAGATGAGAAACAAAACCATAAGTGATTTATAATGCTAATGGTTTTAGTGAATAATTCAGTTTAACGGATGGCCCAGTAGTGCAAGGCGCTTTGATTTGTTATCCAGAGTTGCTTCCCTTCCGTGAGCCAGGTTGTTACGAGGCAAGGTAAGTGGTTTAGCATCGCATTCAAGATTATTTCACTAAGATACCGACGGTCATGATTGCAGTGTGTGTGATTGCTTGTACCAGTTCCAACGTATGCTTGCAGTGCTAAGGTACCAAGCCCCACTTTGAGGTATATTTTTCAAACCTGTTCGTTAAGTCAACCTCAAATCAAGGATTCAAGCGGTAATCGTGTGAATCACAAGCTTTGTTCGGAAATCTCGCGAGACCCGAGTTGCACAAACTGGGCGCTGTATAAATGCCAAATCCTGTACAACTTCAGTGTGTACAACCAATTGCTTACAACAAGTTGTACGGTGTGAATGCTCCTTAACCGCCCCTCACCCGCCTCAGACACAGGATACTGGTCCAGCGTCAGATACATCCTCTGGTTAAATACTTAAATCTGAACGCATTGCAGGCGAAAAATACCCTCAGTTCCATATTATGTGATGTGACCCAGTCCTACCGATCTGTCCGAGGTATTGTTATCATCTGACATTTATCAACACGTACCAGTGCCACATGTAAATATATTCAAAACGTTCATAGAAGTTCGGGATATGCGTAAATAAAGAGTGAGTGGTGCTTAATAATGTTCCTGTGTATGAATCAACTCACTGTCCACGGCCAGACAGGCCACTGTGTTGAGTAACACCAGAGTAGCCAACAGAAGCAGCTTCCCCATCCTGGAGTCAAGTTGCTTCTTCTTGCCCTGGTACAGCAGCTGTCCGGTAATCAACAAATTAGATTTACAGAGACAAAACGCCTGTACAAATTAGATTTACAGAGACAGCTCGAAACGCAAGGAACCTGACAGTACGGATTAACGAGATAGAACTATACACAGTGTTAAAACGTGTAAATACGGCGTAAAGAACACAATGACAAACTCTTCTGGTGATCTGTTTTCATATAACACAACTACCTTACCCAAATTAGTAAGCAGGGGGTCGTTTCACAAAGCGATCGAAGCACCACGACTGTCGTAAGTCTATGCTACGACCGTTAAGTGGAACGAGGTCCTGGATATTTGCCTTCACGTGTACATCGCCTCTCAGCTTGTGTAGCCATTTTGTCCTGTGATACTAGCACATTAATATGTGGGCTATCAGATTCACAGCATAAGCTATGACAGACATACTCATTATTCTAATTCAAAATACATGTATATCAAAAAGGAATTGCATGTATACTCACGGATACGTCACTGTATAGACACTGGGTTGTATTCCCTTGCGATAGCAAGTCACACTGAACGAGCCAGCTGTATCTGGCATAGGTCTGCCCAAGCAGGAAGTGCATTAATGATATAACATTTCATTTGAAAATAGATATAACAACTGCGCTCTACTTTAACGACAAGAGAAAATGTTCATTGTTGTCAGCTGAAGCTGATATGTCACCCTGAATAGGATTAATGACCGTACAATGTGTGCATTGTGGTTGACATTGCCAAGCATATCCATAACGTATGGAATACTGTAAGGGACATTGTCGCTATGTCGCATTGTCGCGTTGTCAAAAACAAGTAAAGTGAGGCAAAATAAACCAAAACGCGACACGCGACATCGCGACAACGCGACATTTCGCCCATTTGTCGCATTGTCGCGATGTCGCGTGTCGCGTTTTGAATAATATTTTTCTATTCCTCCAAAGGGCGACACGCGACATAGCGACAATTTTCAAGGTCAAAATATGTCGCGTTGTCGCGCGTCGCCCTATCTAAGATGTGTAAAAAGAAGCCTGTGGTTCATTTGTAAACGCGACACGCGACAATGCGACATTTTTATGTCGCATTGTCGCGTGTCGCGTTTTCGCCCTTTTCCATTACCGGTGCGCATGCGTAGAAAGTCAATGAGTCTACGCATGCGCAGGAAATGTTATACTCTTTTTCACACTTCAGTGGTCTTTTGTTACCTCCAATGGTTTTTACAATGAAGTAGTACGCGTAATCACAATGGGGGCTGCTTTTCTTGAACTTAATGGAAATCTTTCATTGTTGCTTTGAAAATTATTGTATATATTGTAAATGTATCCAATGTGTTTTAGCATCAAGACAAATTATTAGCGCTACTATTCATTGTAATCACGGCACACGGTGACTGTGTCATTCAAGGCGGGGCAATTTGCTGAGCAGAGTTGTGTCTCTTAGTCACACCAGAAAGCTATGATCATAGGTTCTAATCCCAGCACCATACACACTCGTCACTTTGGACATTTCACCAATATCAAGCTCACAGGTTGTGAAAAAACTCAAATATTGTTAAAATTCAGGCCACATCGGCAGAAACATCAAGTGATGTCCACGAATGGGTCACTATGTTCCACAGTGCGGCTCCTCTGAGACATTCTCAGTACAGTCCTGTCCGACGCTGATGAACTTGTTCAGCCAGCAGTGGATGGATACCAACTAGAATGACATGGTAATATCACTTAACCATCCAGCACCTCAAAGACAGTTTTGGTCGACTTTGAACGTGATATTGTTCTTGGGAAAACGCCATACAAATGGAATGTTATGATTATGATTTTAAAAGCGGTCGAATCGCTTGGCAGAGTTGCGTACCCTTGAGTGCCAGAAATCAACCCTCGCTCGCTCGCTCCCTCCCTCCACTCCACTCCCCGCTCCACTCACTCACTCCACTCCGTCCCGCTCAGCTCAACTCCACTCCAAACATCGAAAAGTAATCATGCTTGTGATAAAATCCGCCATAACTCATGAAATGCGACACGATTAATGCGACAACGCGACATTTTGATGAAATGTCGCGTTGTCGCATTGTCGCGTCGCGTTTTGTTAAAATATTATGTACAGTATGTATCACTCACTCACTCACTCCCCTCCCCGCTCCACTCACCCAGTCACTCACTCACTCACTCATTCCACTCCACTTCGCCCACTCACTCACTCCGCTCCACTCCCCAATGCCTCCACACTCACTCACTCACTCTCTCCCCTCCCCGCTCCACTCACTCCACTTCTCTCCGCTCCACTCCACTCCGCTCACTGACTCACTCCCTTCCCCGCTCCACTCACTCACTCATTCCTCTCCGCTCCACTCCACGCTACGCTCACTCACTAACTCACTCACTCGCTCATTTCACGCCGCTCCAATCCACCCACTCACTCCTCTCCGCTCCCCGCTCTACTCACTCACTCACTTAGTCTCTCATTCCGCCCCTTCCCCGCACCACTTACTCACTCCACTCCGCTCCTTTCAACTCCGCTCCACTCACTCAGTCACTCCACTCCACTCCCCTCTCCGCTCACTTACTCACTGCGTTCCACTCCGCTTCAATCACTAACTCCACCCGTTCACTCATTTCAATCCACCCACGCCTCCTCCCGCTCCACTCCACTCACTCCCTCTCCTCCACTCACCTCCAGTCACTCATTCTCTCTCCACTCCACCCACTCCCTGGCGCTCCACTCCCGCTCCCCCTCTCCACTCCACTCCTCCTCTCGCTCCCTCTCCCTGCCCACTCACTCACTCGACTTCACTCCCTTCCGCTCCACTCCACTCCGTATCACTCCTCTACCCTCCGCTCACTGACTCACTGACACACTCCACTCCCCGCTCCACTCACTCACTCATTCCTATTCACTCCGCTCCACTCCACGCTACGCTCACTCACTCAGTCACACTCATTTCACGCCGCTCAACTCCCTCTCCACCCACTCACTCACTCCACTCCGCTCCACTCCACTCCAGTCCACTCCAAACATCGAAAAGTAATCATGCTGGTGATAGTTTATAAAATCCGCCATAACTAATAAAACGCGACACGCGACAATGCGACAACGCGACATTTTGATGAAATGTCGCGTTGTCGCGCGTCGCGTGTCGCGCTTTGTTAAAATATTGAGTACAGTATGCATTATAACGTATTTACTAAAACGCGACACGCGACATGCGACAACGCGACATTTTGATGAAATGTCGCGTTGTCGCGCGTCGCCTGTCGCGCTTTGTTAAAATATTGAGCATAGTATGTATTATAACGTATTTACTAAAACGCGACACGCGACAATCCGACAACGCGACATTTTGATGAAATGTCGCGTTGTCGCGCGTCGCGTGTCGCGCTTTGTTAAAAAGCATTTAAAACAGAAAATTGTTTGCGCATGTGCACAATCATACTAAAGGAATGCGCATGTGCGTGTTTCATTCCGACATTTTTCGGAACAGCACGCGAGGTAAGCTGTTGTTTTTTCTGAATGATTTCAATCGCATTTTATAACTTATTACATGTACCCAGGCTTGTCGTAACAGTCGGCTACGGGGATGCCGCACGTGGGTATTGACCCTAACTCATTTTATGGAAGCATCTCAAGTTGCATCCCAATTCAGGGTATTAATGCGCATTCTGGTAGTGACTGGATTGTCTGGTGGTGTCTGATGCATGTACAACATCGCCGCTTCGTTTCCTTGTAACAAGCATTTGGCGATATGGTTTCTGAAGTTTGCATTCCTCCCCCATTACGTTTAACGTTGCTAATTTCATTATTTACCCGTTACTTTGTTCAGGCGCCACTCAAACAAACCACAGGCAAGTGTTACATTGCCTGAGAAAGTAGGGGAGACCGGGGTCAATAGACCGATCCAGTCTGTCAATCAAAACTGGCGCATGCGTCAATTTTGGCCAATCAGCAGGCCGGGCGCGCTGTGTGGATTTGTCAGACTTATTTCCGGGGTCAAACGATGCATCCGAAGCGATGTGCTTCGAATTATGCCATTTACACTCGCTATATTTATTACATATTCCTGCGATTTGATGTGTACCTTAACAAAACCATTACGGCCAAGACAACAAAAATGGAGGCGGATCAAGAAACGCGATAGGCCTAACGATCAGTTAAATGTCTGCACCATCGTTCAGGAAACCTACGTCTGCCTGCTGATGAGAATTTGCACGAATTTCCACACTTTGCACATGTGCAAAATCATTACCAGTTGATGACAACAAATAGCAGTTTAAGACTTTGCAAGTGTTATAAACACGGACAATTCTTGTAACTACAAAATTGTTTTTGCTTAACGTTTTTAGTCACTACTAGGCATTGAGTTGGTACGCCATAAAGCTCAAATGAGACAGGCGAGAAAGCCGTGACACAATGTAAACAAATCTTCATTTCGGTTAGGGTCAACCGAAATAGCAAAACTTGTTACATGAAAGAACACTGTGGCGGATATTGTCCCCTTCGCTCTTAGATATTCTTCAATTTGTCACACATTGTAGGATGTTTTAAGTTTCATAAGCACAATCTGAAGGCCTACAGTATCTTGTTAACAGAGCAAAATATTCGAGGAGTAATATTTTTTATTCAAACGGAAATATTGTCAGTGTCAGCAGTTGCCTATCATGCAATATCCAAGTATCAAAATTACTTCATATGAGTGCCTATAAAACCATGCTTTAAATATTTCAGATTTTTTATAAAGAGTTGCATGGGACTTTGAACTGAATTACCTTCCTCCATGTTGATCGAATACGAAAACTATGTGAGAAGAATAGTGATCAACTTTCTGGAGTACTGGACGGAGTGAAATAAAGTGTATATCTTAATTACGAGAACATTATTTGAAGTTTTGTTACCATATAAATTATTCACATATAATGGTACATTTTAGGAGTAATATTACAACTGTAATTTTGATTAATTCACTGGAAATGATGGCAAGGTATGTTTTAAGAATCTTGCTGTTTTTAGTAAACGTGGAAGGGTAATAAAATTAATAATAATCTAATCAATAATAAATAATTATTCAATTGATTGACATATCAGATTTTTTAGATTTTAAGGCAGAACTTGGCAAACAAACACCATACATATCATGGCAGGACAATCATTTGGTATTAACTTAGTTTCTTGGCTCCTGCTTTTAGATGTTTTTTTAAATACTACATTTACTAATAAGATAATTCTGAAAGTGATTGCTAGTATCATAACTCATTAAAGTTATTTCAACATCCAGAAAATTTGAAAAAGCAAAGGCTACGTTTTGGTCAAACCCTGGTCAGGCATTATCCAGTCCTCGAACAGAATAACTTACAAAAATCTCAGGTGACTTTTCATGTAACGGAATAAAGATTGAAACATATATTTAACCCATATTTGATGCAATTCTTCTGATAAATCATAAGTTTTTTAGGAGGTTACTAATATTTGAAGACTGAGCCAAAGCTAGTGTTTATTAAGATGGTGGATTTGAACAAATTGTTCAAGGTTTGTTGATGGTTATTTGCAAAATGAGCTTCATATTAAATTGCACACTGGTTTGTAGGAGGTGAACGCTTCAGGGCATTTTCATGTCTGTTTTCCTAAACCTTTGTTATGACTTTTACCAAATTTTGAATCAACTTTCGACTACATTTGTATTTTGTGTAACATTCTATTTCAATGTGTACAGGTGCAGACAGTATCTTGGATCTTCTTTGTGT